AAAAAAATAAGTAAAAAGGAAGTGACTAAATCTATTCAAAGTTGCCAACCAAAAATATAAAGTGCAAATTAAAACACCTCCGCTGATGAAAATTTCCCCAGATGGAAGGGTGGTGAGGAAGCACAAGAAAATAGCAAAACAAAACTCAAAAATAAATTAACTATCAGGAAAAAAAAGCAGTGTGTGCATAAAAACAATCAAACAGGCAATTTAAAAAATTAAAACAAAAATTTTTAAAGGGTTGAACTCAGGAAGGAGATAGAAGACATAGGTGTGTTTTTACAATGGTATGGGGAAACCATTCCATACTTAATGGATGAAATAGGTAAAAACTTGTGGATAATAAGAGCCAGGCATTCCCATTGTTAGAGAAAGGAATTGCAAATCTTAAAAAGATGAAGAACAAATTGAATTATAAAGCTGTACTGGAATTGAAGTGTCAGGATGAACTAATAGTTCTTGCAATTAGATATGAAAAGTTGGGTGTGGTAGTATATGCCTGTAATCCCAGCAGCTCAGAAGTCTGAAGCAGGAGGATTGAGAGTTCAAAGCCAACTTCAGTAACTTGTGTCCCTGTGTCAACATAAAATATTTAAAAAGGGATGGGGATGTGGTTCAGTGGTTAAGCACCCTAGGTTCAATCCCTGGTACCAAAAAATATTATTTTAAATAAACAAAAAAGTAGATATGATGCACGGTACTGTCATGCATACACGCACATGACATAGATGTGAATATATTCCCTATCTCTGAGAGCTCTGGGAAGCCATGGTACCCCAGTGCCACTGAGCAAACCTCATGGCCCACAGTTGTGCTTCCAAATAACATTCTCTAACAAAAAGTTCACAGGAAGTCTTGTAGATATGGATGATCTCAGGACCCAAACGTGGAAATTACAAGATGCACTGGGAACATTTTATGGTATTAGGAACTAATAATAAACAAAAAGTGATAGGAAATGTGTCCAAAGAACACAAGAGCTAGCTTAAAATCTCTCCCACTGAACAAATCTGAAAGAATTTGGCCAATGAAAACTATAATAACAACAGAATATAATATATGGAATTATACAAAAGTAAAAAATTTAGTACCAGAATGGATAAATGAATCAATGAATGGTATGAAATCATAACTTCTGTGTTCTAAAAGATCATTTAATTTGCATCTGATAGTTAGAAACTATTAGCCAAACTCAAAACGAGGGACATTCTACATGATAATTAGCCTTGAACTCTTCAATAATGTGATGAAAAATTAAGAGTGACAGAAATGAAAACTCAAGATAATGTGTCATGGTGTGCTGAATGCTAGAATAGAAAAAGACATTAGTAGAACAGCTGGCACAATATGAATAAGGTATTTGGATTATGTAATGCTGCTTTATCAGCATTATTTTCCTGCTTTTGATAATTATACTGTGGTTATGTAAGGAATGCCCTATTCTTAGACGTGCACTGAACTTACACACTGAAGTATATAGAGATAAAGGGGTATTTACATATAAAACCTGCACCTTACTTTCAAAACTGTGAAAAGTTGGGCTGGGGATGTGGCTCAAGTGGTAGCGCACTCGCCTGGCATGCATGTGGCCTGGGTTTGATCCTCAGCACAACATACAAAGATGTTGTGTCCGCCAAAAACTAAAAAA